ACGCCCCTGTCTTACCATGACTCCATGACAAGCGATCCCACGACAGCGATTGTGGGGACTACATGACCCGTACGTGAGGGGTGGAGGGGCCCGTCCGCAGAGCTAGGCGGCGCGGGCACCCACACACTCCCACCCCACCACCCAGAGCTCCTGTGCCACGCGCCTCGCTTCCGCGACACGGGATGGCAGGCACGACTCGGCAACCGCGAGCCGCTCACTCCCCCAGTCCCATTCCAGCATCTATCTTCCCCGCCTCCTCCACCGGGCGGATCCGCTCCCGCGCCGCCTCTCCCACCACCTCGCGGTCGCGATTGCTCCTGCAGATTTCGAAGGAGCACCGGAGGCAGAGCCACTTTAGGTTAGGTTAGGTAGGAAGGTGAATGAAGAACAGCCAGGCTCAGACTGGACACCAACGCGGTATGGGTGGACGCTAGACAGATGGATGACGACACGCACGAGCGACACACAGACACAAACAGGCTCACAAGACACTCTCGGAGCGCAAAAAAGAACACCGACACGCCTCCAGCGAGGGCGCCCAAAACTCCCTCACACAACACGTAGTGCGCGTCACCCCAACATCTGCCGAAATAGTTAGAGGCTGCGCAGGCCGTCCCGTTTGCTGTTTGAAACGCCTGTTGCGCGCTGGCCGAGCTGCGCGCGCGCGCTGGGGCCCGCTGCCGGGGCTCTGTCTCACTCTCACGTGCCGCAATATGTGTCACACACGGCGGCTTCTGCCACCTCTCGATTGGTTCCACTTTCTACGCACACCTACCGGGGAAGGGGCGCTTGGGAGCGGGGGCGGGGGCGCGCAGCGCGCGGCGCGCGCGCGCAACAGAGGGTAGGGTGGGGAAGACGGCGAGGAGGGGGCGGCGGCGGCGGCGGCGGCGGCAGCGCGCGCGCGGCGCGCGCGACGGGGGGGCGGAGCAGCGACCGCTGGCGCGGCGGCGAGCAGCCGAGCGCTCCGTGAGCGGTGAGGCGGCCGGGCGAGGGCGCGGCGGGTGACGGGTCAAGGGAGCAGCCCACACCCGGCGTCGCTTTTTGAGCGACGCCTGTGGTACGCCTGCGCAGGGGCCGCAGGGCGGTCAGTTGTGGGGCGAGGCGGTGCCGGCCGCGGGCCGGGTGCAAGGCGCCGGCCTCGGCGCCGCCTCGGCGCGCCGCACGGGCGCGGCGAGCCTCTGAGCGGGAGCCGAAGGTTTGCTGCGGTGGTAGGGAGGGAGGTGGGCGGTGGGGTGGTTTGACTTTGCCGCAGAGGCCGTCCCTAGCTGTGAACAGCAAAACGGGACAGTATCTCGCCACTGGAACACATGCTACTTACAGCTGCTGTCTGTACAGAGATGCCAGCACCCCCCACAGGCAGAGCGCTCCTGCTGGTGGGGGGGTCCGGACCCCCCCAGCAGCAGAGCGCTGCTGCTGGGGGGGGGGGTCGGCCATGGCTTTAGATGTGCAGGGGGGGTACCGAGCAGTGTGCGGCCGCTCGTGCCGTCAGCTCTTCACGCCACTCCTGTCGCCGAGTCAGCACTTCGCCTCGGCGCTCGCTGCAACTTTCATGCCCTCCAACTGCTCTGTCACAGCAGACCGCTCACACCACACACGCGCACCGGGCCTTGCACTTTTATGCCGCGCGGGGCTCCCCTCCTGTCGTCTATAGACGTGGAGTCGCGAGTAGAGCTGTTTAACGTTGGGAGCTGAACAGTGTTGCTAGTGTTAACAGTAACAACAGAACAACAGTGGGGCTCCCCAACAACAGTAGCTAACGTTAGGCCGGCTGAACAACAATAAGGAAGGCCTGGGAGTGACCCACGACGATCTCCAGCGTCCAGTGCGGGTAATACCCGAAAATACCCGGAAAACCCCAGGTATTTTCGGGGTTTACCCGCTTTTTTGGGCATTTTCTGCTTGCTGACCGCTGAACAACAGTAACAACAGTAACAAACAGTGACAGCATGAGCTGGGGTGAACACTTGAACAACGTTAAGGATTTCACCCAACACTAGCGCAACTGTTAGGCCCAAAGTTAATGTTAAACAGCTCTAGTCGCGAGCTCGCGAGGGTCGCCCCCCCTTGCCCCACCAGTGCTTGTGTGTGTGGTGAAGTTTTAGTTTACCACCTTACCTTAGTTAGCCTGTTACCTCGTCGCGCCTTGCTGCTTGCACGTGCGCGTGGTCCGCGGGGGATGCCGGGGGCACAGGCCAGAGCGCAGAGGCCACCCAGGTCCCAGCCCCCACTGCCCACATCCCACTTACCGCCACAGCCTGCTCGGACAGCACTCAGCAGGAAGCTTCGAGGTAGTTCTACCCCTAGTTGGGGATTGGGGTCATGGCGGGCGGAAAGCGGCGGCGACGGGGCCCATCACGTATAGAAGCCGTCGAGGACCCCCGATCAACACACAATAACGCAAGGTAACTAGTAAAAACGACCTCTCGCACGACATAAACAAACGATCTGCGAGACCGGGCCGCTGGTCTCTTGAAATTGCTCTCACACGGAGTGACATTCCCATCGCGTGCGTGACGTGCCGACCCGCAGAGTTTGGCCAACGCGCGTCCTGCCGGGCCCCCGCGAAAGGGCGCGCAACAATCAGGCGCCGCCGCGCGGCGTGAAACCCAAGCGTTCCCGTCGCTGTTGGGCCTGCCTCACCGCGAGCGGGCTTCCTTAGAGACCGCCTCGCGCCAAGTCTCGAGCCCCTCAGAAGATCTCAAACAGCCCCGCCGCGCCCATGCCGCCGCCAATACACATGGTGACGACCGCGCTCTTTGCGCCGCGGCGCTTGCCCTCGAGGAGGGCGTGGCCGACCATCCGCGAGCCCGTCATGCCAAAGGGGTGGCCGATCGCGATGCTGCCGCCGTTGACGTTGGTCTTGGCGTGGTCGATGCCGAGCTGCTGCATCGAGTAGAGCGGCACCACTGCGAAGGCCTCGTTGAGCTCCCACCTGCTCACAGAGCAACACGTGAACGACGCCGTCCACAGACTCGCGCATGCAGCCTCGACGAGCTCGCACAGATCGATGTCGTCCACCTTGAGGCCGTGCCGCGCGAGGAGGCGAGGCACGGCAAACACCGGCCCGATGCCTGCGAGGGCAAGCCAGGAGGGCGGACGGGGAAGGGGAGGCGTATGGCAGCGACCTCGAGCATCGTAGGGGACGAGTGGCGGGAGGCGCGTCCCGCATCTACGTCCCGCATCTACACGGGACGCATCTACGGGACGCAATCTACGGGACGCATCTACGGCGGGCGTGCCCATCTCGTCGGGCGCGCAGCCCGCCACCGCGAAGCCCTTGAAGGCGCCGAGCGGCTGCAGCCCGCGCCTAGTCATCGCGTACCGCGTCGTGTCTCTTTCCGTCGCCTCACGCCTCGGCGTGGCGGCAGCGGCGGCGGCGGCGGCGGCGGCGGCGGCGGCGGCGGCGAAGGCAGAGGCGGAAGTGGCGGCGGCGAAGGCAGAGGCGGGGGCGGGGGCGGGGGCGGGGATGTGGGCGACGGCGGTGGCCACGCGCGCCTCGACGCCTCGGCTTCGGACATGACGACGCACGCAGAAGCGCCGTCCGACAGCTGCGACGCGTTGCCGGCGGTGATGAAGGCGGACGGGTCCACCTTGCTTCGCACGGGGTTCATCCCCGCGAGGGCCTCGAGCGTGGTGCCGGGCCGGTTGCACTCGTCGCGATCCGCGAGCACCTGGTCAAGCGTTGCTCGGAAATGAGAGCAACCATCGTGACGAAGAACAACTGCTCGCCGCCCCGCGTGGGCAGGAGGGCGGCGGGAGGGCGGAGGGAGGGTGGCGGCGGTGATGGCGATGGCAGGCGAGTGGAGCAGCGGAGAGAGGCAGCGGCGAGGAGAGGCGGCGGTGGGAGAAAGTGGGAGTGGCGGGAGAGCGGCAGCAGTGAGAATGTCGGCAGACCGTCTCGTGCGACTGGCAATGCAGGACAATCAACGATAATAAACGTGAGCCGTGAGTAGTGGCTAGAGCGGACCGTCTTGTGGGACGTCTCGCCGGTCTCTTTGTCTGTGACGAGCATCGTCGCCTGCATCGGCACGATTTCATCCTTGAAGAGGCCCGCCTCCTGCAGGCGCGCGGCAGACGGGGGCGAGTCGAGGGAGGCGGCGGCGAGGGGCAGACCGAGACACGGACTAGTGACACGGAGGGGCAGGGGAGAGGGGCAGAGGGAGGGGGAGCGACAGCAGACCCCCTGCGCCGGATAGACGGATCGCGCGGGGCGAGGGGAGGCTCTCCGAGCGGCGGCGCCGCCGCTCCGCGCCGGGCGGTGCGGCGGAGCGGCGCAACAAGGGGCAGGCCGGGCCGCGGGGCCGCAAATGCGTCTCCCCGTGGCTATGTGTGTGGCGCGGCGCAGCGTTCGCCTGAGCCGCGGCGGTGCGTCGCTGCGACTCGACGGAGTAAACGTCCTGCGCCTCGCGAGAGATGCCGTACCTGCGAATGGGACGGCTCCGGTCACGCGCGCCGAGAGCAGGCCGCGCGGTGTGTGCGGCCGGCGCTGGGCGCGCATGCCCCGCGAATACCACGCGGGCGGCGCACTCACCGGGCAGAGACAATGTCTGCCGTCTCAATCATGGGCATCCACAGGGCGGGAAACTCGCTCATCAGCTTCTCCTCGGTGACGGTGGTTTTGCTTGCCACGGGCGACACCATCGAGATGCTCTCCACCCCGCCGCCGATCGCGACGTCCACGCCGTCGACCATCACCGAGTGCGCAGCCGACGCCACCGCCTGCAGCCCTGAGGAGCAGAAGCGGTTGATGGTCGTGCCCGAGGTGGTGACTGGGCAGCCGGCCCATAGCGCCGCGTTGCGCGCGATGTTCATCCCGGTCGCGCCCTCTGGGAAGCCGCAGCCAATGATAACGTCCTCGACGTCGCCCGGGCTGATGCCCGCCTTTTCGATGGCGTGCTTGATCGCGTGCCCTTGCATGACTGCGCCGTGCGTGTTGTTGAAGCCGCTGCGAAAGGACTTGGTGAGGCCGGTTCGTGCGGTTGATACGATGACGGCGCGGCGAGACATGGTGGCACGAGGGCGCGAGGACGGACCTGAGGGAGGCGGCAGAAGGTGATGGCGGCGGTGGTTTTGAGGAGGTGTCGTGGTAAAGGGAAGAAGCGGGCTAGCACTGTGTGGGCTGACGAACACCGGCGGGCAGTCTTTCCGATCATGAGCGAACTTTTATTTTTTATCGGCCTTCGACTGAGGGGACCACCTCTCCTCTCGTGGTTACTTAGTCGCTCTGGCAGATTGATTACTTAGTCGCTTGAGACCTCGGGCCAGCGCCACCACGCGTCCTCCCCTTCACGTACCCCTCGGCTCGTGTGGATTCGAACCACGGCCGGGATGGAAGCTTCCTTCCTGCTTCCATCTCGCATCTGATTAGTTTTCCATTTTCCTCCTGTGCACGAGCGGGGCTCAGACGGAGCGCGCGACATGAGAGGGCCGAGAGTGGGCAGGGGGGGGGGGGTCAGCCGTGCAAAAGCATCATTCATAATATTAATTAACGAACAGGTATTGCCCGGCCGTCTGTGGAGTCTGTCCCAATCTGGAGGAGACGGGTCAGCCCCGTGAGGTCCAGATCACGTTCACATTGTCGTAGCCGGAGAGGATGTTGACCTTTGACTACTGGGGCCGCGCATTCCGCTTGCGCCGCAGCTGCCCTCCACTGCGCACTCTCCGCTCCGTCCTTCTCGCGGAGGCCCCCCCAGCCCGCCCCCCCCGATCCCCCATCTCCCCAAACACGCCCCCCGCCTCCCCGCCCTCCACCCCCACCGCCTCCTCCTCAATCAAGTCCCTCCCCCTCTTCCTTCCCCGCTCCCCCCCGCCCCCCTCCCTCCTCGCCCACGCCCCCCCCTTCTCCGCCCCCCCCCTCCCCGTCCCGCGCCCCGAGCCCGGGCGCCTCCTCTCCACACCCCGCGCCAATTGGTTAATTGTCAAAATTTTGACCACATGTTGAGTGTAGAGCGCTGTAGAGATGTAGAGATGTAGAGCGCTGGAGAGCGGTAGAGCTCTACATCCGCCGCGTGACGAGGCGCCTCCGTTGTAGAGCGACGTGGAGGCGCTCTACAACGTGAAATCTCTACAACAAACTCTACACTGGGTCGGCCTCCTCCGGGTCTGCAACTCGCACGGTGGGTCCGCATCCGGGCGAGCATGCGAGGCCCGCGGTTGTCCTTTCGCTGGGCGCGACCGCCATGGAGATCCGCTGCACACAGATCAGTGGTTTTGTCGACTATTGCTCGCTCTCTGTGCAATCGCAACGCCAGAGGCCGTGCTTGGAGAATGAGTCGCAATGCTGCTGCGTCTGTGGATTGAGCCGCGGCGCATGCTCCATCGGTGAGCTGCGGTGGCGCGCCGGCCGCTTCATGCATAGCTCTCGGCAAGCGACCGCAAACGCGTTTTCCGTCCGTCGTTTCATCGAGTTTGCCCGAGTGGTAAAATGCAATCGAATTTGGCACACACCTGGCTGGGTGCATCTCTCCTTTCTCTCTGTTGAGAGAGAGATTTTTAGGAAAACCAAACAACTCTAACACTCACACATAATTTGTTTGTCTGTTGCGTGTTGTGCGAGGCGTGAACCGCGCCATTCGCTAGGTCTCGCGCTAGGTCTCGCGCGCGCGTGAACACAAGGGCCTGAGGGAGGGTGTAGAGGATGTAGAGTGTAGAGCGCTGTAGAGCTGTAGAGATGTAGAGCGCTCTGGCTGGAGCGCTGTAGAGCTGTAGAGCTCTACATCCGGCGCGGGACGAAGGTGCGATGTAGAGCGCGATTTCACAGTCAGTCAGTCAGTCAGTCAGTGTTACACACCTCCCAGCATGGAGGACGGGCCCACACGCACACACACTGCACACGATTGGCTCGGGAGCCGACACGAGGCACACTGTCACCGGCCTTAGCACTGGGTCCGGACTGCTGGACACACAGCACGCAGCTCACAGGACAGCTCACGAGGTGGCGCTATGTAGTGGGGTTCTCATGGGACTGACGCGGGAAAAGAAGGTGGAGCACAGGGATGGGGACACAGAACTCACGAACTGACTTCCCACCCCGCGCCGGGAGCGGTGGCGCGCGCGAGCGCCGGGGTATTTTGGACCCGCGGTCTGGCAGGCGCCAGGCCACAGACCCGCCGGCAGAGCCTTGAGTCGCATCCGCGATCCGCGATTTCACAGTGAAATCACTAAGTAAATCGCGCTCTACACTCGCTCTCATCATCGAGTCTACATCGCTCTACAACGCACCCGCTTCGTCCCGCGCCGGATGTAGAGCTCTACAGCGCTCTACAGCTCTCTAGATCTCTAATATAGCTCTCAGCGCGCTCTACGTGGCCGGGTTCACAGCCTTGTTATGAGAAGAAAATACGTCCTATGGCGCTATGCGCTGGTCTGTGAGAGGTTGAGGTGCGAGCCCTGGAGGCCCTGGGGATGGGGGGAGACTACCCGCGGGCCTAGAAGGCCCGCGCGCGCACAGTTCACAGCGATGTAGGAAAAAACGGGAACACTTGACGGTCGCGTCCTTCCGACTCACGCCTCCGCCTCCTGGCACTATTGTAGCCCTGGCCGGTGCGCGTGCGAAGTTGAAGTTCCGGTGTGAAAATTCGAACGCGTTCTCTCACGGTGACCAAAAAATGTCCACCACAGAGGCACCTCCGGAGGCAGGCCGCCGCGCGCCAGCGACACAGCTCCAGCAGTCGAACTGACCCGCAGCTCCTCTCAGAGCGGGAACTGTGACAAAAGTTGACTGAGGTGGTTGTCAGGAACCATCATATGGATCACATGTTGGCTCTCTCATGACGACAGCGACACAGACCCTGTGGGACGCGTCGAGTATCGACCTCTACTGCTTACCCAGCCTTCGAGTGTATCCTGGCTGTGGTCCCACACCCACTGGTGTCCATCTCAGAGCCGTAGGAGGTCATGGGGTCGAACCCCACAATGCCTAAAAAAACCGACGCCGGGAATAAATAAATAAATAAAACGGTCTGTGCTCCAAGGTCAAACTCTGAGACCAGATGGGATTTAGGGACATGTGTCCCCGCCCTGCACGAACTTGGTGTGAGGGATCTTCCAATGATCAATCCGTCCCCTCACCCCTGGTCACTACCCGACACTAGCGGCAAGAGTTGGGGCTGCGGCGGATGCCGGCGGTAGGCCGGCTACGGGGTGTGTGGAGGGTGAGTTGACCAGGGGTTGTGCGCCGGGCCCTCCTGCTCGGCTCCAGCCGGTAGACAAGTCTTGTCATCAACAGAGTAGATGGATCTGACCTCGGGGCCGATGTGACCAAGCGCTGGTAGCGTGGTTTGACCTCTCACCCATGGTCTCACAGTGTGCCGGCAGTCGCCGAGCAGTGTCGCTCACACAAGCCGCAGCACAAGTGACTGAGGGCCAGTGAGGGCGAGCCCATCGCTGTCACAGCTGTGACAGCCGCACAGTAGGCTGTGTCAGCTGTGCAGAGTGTGTGAGCAGCAGAGGAGCTGCTCTCCAGGCTTCTGTCGCAAAGAGCTGCATGCCACCGAAAGCGCTGTCGAGGTTCGCCGAGCGCGGCGCAGGTTGAGGGAAGCCGCCATCGACGAGCGCGTTGGACTTTTCACTCCGGACAAAGACGGGTACACGCACACAAGCCGCGGTCGTGTACCCGTCTTAGCGGCGAGGCGCGGGACCGTCTGTGGCGAAGTGGGTCGCGTCCTCCGATTTTGTTGAACCCAGCATCCACACCCTTTACGGCTGCGGCTGCGGCTACGAGAGGGGCCGGGGTCGCGGGAGAGCCGCTGCGCAGCGTGGACGCGCGCATACACCACTTGCTACTTGCTCCGCTCGCCACCTCTCGCAAAGGTCCAAAGCCATAGCCACCACCTCCATATGGAGCCTCCAACCCAGCCCAGTACGCACCTCTTACACTCTGATACTTTTATTATAATATTTCTTATTTGTTCGCAGCCGTTCGTCAGGGACCGCACATCAACAACATCAGAGAACAGCCGACCGCGCGTGGCTACCCGGTGAGTGCGCCCTCGTCTCGCAAGTACTCGCCCACGTCGGCCTGGTGCAGCGCAACGATCGCCTGCGGGTCGAGCTTGCGGCACTCTGCGGTGGACTTTGCGGTCACGCCAAAGCCGAGCGGCACGTCTGCCATCGAGAGCACCACGACGCCTGCGGGTGCAAATCGCGGACATGTCGTGGACGCGCCTCCGCGAGGGCGGGAGGGCCACGAGGGGCACCCTGGTTCTGCGGCGTGTCCTCGGTGATGCGACCCAGCCCCGCCTTGAGCACGTGGTTCCCGTACAAAAACGACTGCTCCGCCGACGGCTTGACCCACACCTGCCCGCGCGGCAGGGGAGGGGCGGGCGCGCGGTAGGTGGCGGGCGGGCGGGCGGTGCGCCCGCGGGGGGCGCCCGCGTGCAGCACGAGAGGCCCATGGCCGCAGGGGGCGAGAGCCGGAGGCTACGCGGCGGGGACTGCCGCCCGCCTTGTACGGCGCGAGCTGAGCAATGTAGTCGAGGCAGGTGACGTGCAGTCGGAACTTCTTGCTCTTTGTGAACTTGCCAAAGGTGACACCCATCCCCACTAGCTGGTCTCTCGGAAGCGCAGCCGCCGAGCGCATCTGTGGCAGGCGGCGCCATGTCAGTGGCCGTGTGTCAGCACCGGCAATGGCGCAGTCGCACCTGCAGGTCGCTCACGTAGAAGACGCGGTCTCTGTGCAGGCGGAAGCAATGCGGCCCATTAGGCGGGTCGAGCAGCGTCTTGATGCCTCGACCAATGTACTTGGACAGCTTCTCGAAGAAGATCTTGCTGCGAGGCGGGCGGCGTTGAGCGCTGAGTTCCGGAGGAGCGCTCGAAAGAAGTGCAGTGCGGTGACAGTTGGGCGGGCGGCGCACAGCTCGTCCTCCGTCAGCGGCCGAGGCATTCGCGAAGGTGCGTTGGCGGTCGAGTGCTGCGGCTCGTCGCCGTGGCGTGCACTAAAGAAAAAGACGACCATGGGAGGACGGCACGCCGCCACCACACAGGGATTTTAAGGAGAGGGGTGTGGTGCGCTAGCCGTCGCCCACCCTTGGGCGTCCGCCTCTTCCTATCTCTCTTCGCAGTCTCTCTCCGATTCTCGCGGCAAATTTCTTTTTCTGCTGTGAAAATTCCGGCGTGAACAAAAAACCCGACGGGAGGGCCCAGTCCTACCCTACGGTACCTACCCCGTCATGACGTACGGCCAAGCAAGAAAAACCTACACCTGACAGTCCCCGGCTACTTTTTGTTTGAATCACGGAGGCCGTTCGCACATTTTATTTCGTGAGACGGGTGGGTCAAGAAGAATGCAGGCTGGAGGTGGATGGGGGCGCAGTACACTACGATGCGAAGTGAATCAAGAAAGCCATAACGCGGCTGGTGCTCGTGGAAACTTTGGGTGGCATTGCGCCGCCCACCAAGCAGTTCCTCCACGTGTTCGCCAAGGAAGCGGCGGGCACCAACACGGACCGGACGGTGTACGGGGCGGCGTCGGCGAGCGCCTGTCCTCCTTCGTCGTCCACCACACGCAGCAGATCTCCCATGGGCAGCATGGCGGCGGTAGCGGGCGACGCCAACAACATCAACAAGCAGGCGCGCAATACGCGTATCAACTGGCTCAACTCCCCTGAGCGTGCCAACTGGGTCAACGACGTCAAGAACAAGCAAGCGGCAGACGTCCTCTTACCCTCGACCCCAGTGGGGGGCGCCCACGCCGCCTAGCTCTGCGGGCGGGCCCCTCCACCCTTCACGTACGGATCATGTAGTCCCCACAATCGCTGTCGTGGGATCGCTTGTCATGTGATGCCCGACGTGCACTTGGAGCACTTGGAGTGCAGTCATTAATCGCACATCCAGGCGGGAGCTATCCAGCGCACTTTCTCTATTTCGTGCGAAGCTGCGTCTGTACAATGCTTAGCCCGCCAGGCAGCCCTCCCAGTCCAGGAACATCAGCAGCCACCATCTCCAACTTCTACGTGTACAGCGACGTGAGCAGCGTCGTATGTTGAGGGATCTGAGAGAAATAGTCGAGGTCACCGAGAGCCGCGGTGCGAAGCCTTTATCACCGAGAGCCGCGGTGCGAACAGGCGAGCAGCGGCGCTGGCATTCACGACACGCAGCCGGATGCGCCTTCGATTGGCCTCCGCAGCGGCAGCGTCCTGGCGACGCCGCCGCAGCACCAGCAACCCATTCACATGCCGCCAATGAGCAGGGAGGAGGATGGTGGCAGCTTTCACTTTCACAGTGGGCTGGGGTTGAGAGGGGGCAAGAGCATAGGGCGGCGCAGCCGCACTGAGGCGGTCAACCGGCTCGTGCTCATCTCAGTGCTCACCGCAGGCTCGGCCATCTCCCTCGTGGCGCTCGGCTGTATTCTCGCGCACCGTTACCCGCGTGCCTCGGGCGGCGAGGTGGAGGGGGCGGCTAGGCGGCGGCCAGGGCTAGAGCTCGGCCACGGCTGGGCGGACCTCTGCCTGGCTGTCGGCAGGCGAAGATGCTGCGCGGAGAGAGCCTGACCGACGAGGGGCTGGACGACCAGGTGGGGCCACCCGAACCTCCCTCTCGCCGCGGCGCGGCCGGCACGACCCTGAGGCGTGCGCACGACACGTGTCTGGTGACGCCGCCGTTAGGCGAGGACCCTCCTCTCGGCGACGACTCCGACGGCGAGGCCGCGCCGTCCACCTAGCCGCGATATGCTGCCACAGCTGAGCCCGGCGCGTAGTACATGAGGCGCAACCGCGCGTGAGACTTACTCTTGATCTCTCCCCTGCGCGGGAGAGTAGCGACCTTCCTCCAGCTTCTCACTGGCAGTCTCTCACTACCACGGGCACACTGATAGAGGCGGCCGAGGCTCACGCCGTGGGAGGCAGAGAGAGGGAGGCGGAGGGCCGGGTCACATGCAGAGCCGGCGGTGTCATGCCGGAGAGAACTGAGAGCCTGCGGAGACGGCAAGACGGCATCGACCGCCCAGGAAATAGTTCTTTTTACGGCTAATCACACCGCCGCATTGGGCCAGCAGTCCAGGTAACAAGCCGATGATGCGTGCGGCGACTGTGCTTGGCATGGAGCGCGGCGCACGCCCGCTGCTACGCTGGAACACTCCACCGCTACCGAACACAGCGCGCGGGTGGGGCGTCCCTAACTCCGCGCGCTTCTGGAGAACAGCGTCAAGGGCGTTTCTCACACGGGGAGCCACCCAAGTGTGACCTCCGCAGCTGTTGTACTCCTCGAGCACGTCACGCGCACACGACGCCTGCCGCCAGAGCTGCTCGTCCGCGGATATTCTCTGTTGCACACGCTGCGAGACGTGCAGGCTGGCGTAGCCCGGCCCCTGCGCGAGCTGGAAGTCGTCACCGACGACGACAAGTGCCCGCCTGTTGCTCTCTCCTGAGCTGGGGTGGGCCTGCACGCACGATCACTGGGGGCGTGTTTGGCAGCGTCCCCGCCGCGCCGCGCGAGAACAAGCCCGAGGCCGACACGTAGATTGTATGTGGCGCGGCGTAGACAATCCCCCCCAATCCCCCCCGGCTCCATGCCGCCATCGCAAAAAAGCGCGGGTGGAACCATCCGTCCGGAATCACCTTGTCGACCTCGCAGTGCTGCTGGCACCAAACTGTGCCGGGCCCGTCCGGCGCCACCACGTCGTCCAGGCTCATCTCGCCCACATTGTATGCGTCGCGAACGTCCTTGTCTACCTCGTCCAGATAGGCGCGGACGGTGTCGTGCGGTCCGAACCACGGCAGAGCCTGTTGCAGAGGTGGCACTGGTGGGGGGGACAAAGGTGCAGGGATGGGTGGCGGCACGACACTGGGCACGGGAAAGAATTTGAAACCAAAAACCGGCCTGCCCTCCCTTGCGTTGAGTCTTCATTCTTTCGAAGGTGTACCTGTGTTAGTGCCAGTGCGCCCCGCCCCCCCCTCCTGGGGCGGGGCCCTTGCGACGGAGAAGAGGCCAAAATTGTACAGCAGCAGACGGCGGACAACGAAGCAGTAGAGGCTTGCTAGGAAAAGTGTAAGGCCGCCGTCAGCCGGGTTTAGATGTGTCTTTTTCGCGGGGAGGTGCCTTAGTGCCAGGTGCACCACAAGTCTATGAGGTGTAATAAGCAAGACAGGGGCAGACAACGCGTCGCCACACACACAGAAGCACGCATATACTATGATACTCTCTCTTCTCTCTCTCTAGCGCCGACGCCTAGTCGGAGGGCAACCCGCTGCTCGGGACTGGTTTGCGGCCTGGTTGAGCTCGGTCGTTGGGAAAGAGGCACGAGCGAGGGCGGCGACCTCAACCGACTACAGGGCAGACGACGGGGGAGAGTTGCGAGCAGACGCGCAGGGCGAGACGAGGGAGGGAGCAGGACCGCAGTGAAACCAATGAGGGTTCCCAAGCGAACCAGTTTAAGACCATGTTTAGACCCAGTTTAGACCACGGCTGAACACGAACCAGATTAGTCCTGTTTACGATAAACTGGGTCTAAACAGGGCTCGGCCTGGGTGGGGGACCCCATTAGCCATACCAGGTTTAGCCCGGTTTAGGGCGCCCCTAGCAGCTCCGCCGTCGGTCGCGGCCGCGCTGGCTGCGGAAGCGGCAGCGTGCAGCCGCCATCCTCTGCCTCGGGCCGGACAGCACACCTGGCACACTTGCACCGCGCAACAACAGCCTCGCCGGTCAGGCGCACGGTGTTAGGGCGCGACGTCGGGCGCGGCGACAGACCAGCTGGCGGCGCCTCGTGCGCCTGGCAAGAAGCGGGGAAGCGCGTGGATTTCAACCCGGCCGCAAAGGAAGGTGCGCTCGCTAGTAGAAGTGGTGTTGGGTTGAGCAGTGGTACTCACTGCCCCTCACCAAATGCTTGCAGGCGATGTTCCTGCCGCTGACGCTTGCGCGTGCCGCTGAGAGCCGCGTCTCTCTCAGAGCAGGGGAGCTAAGCGGGGGGGAGGTGCGCGCTACGCGGGGGGGAGGGGGGGAGGAACCCCATTAGCCATACCAGGTTTAGACCCAGTTTATCGTAAATAAACAGGACTAATCTGGTTCGTGTTTAGCAGTGGTCTAAACTGGTCTAAACTGGTTCGCTTGGAACCCTCCTAAACCACCCCCGCCTCAACCCGCTCAGGGAAGGACGCATTTCCCCCCTTTCAAAGGCGGTTTCGAAGTTGATGAGACCTCGTCCCCCCCTCTCGAATGAAAGGCGTAAAAAGAGGCGCGGAACAGGCCGGAAGCGCCGCTTGGACGTGGGTCACACAATGGCAGCGCTCCAGACGCGCTCTGGTAGCTGCCAATGAAGCTGTAGCCCATCGCGCGCGCGCCGGACGGCCGCTGCACCTCCACTGCAGTGCCCTCCTGCACCGAGCGACGCGTCAAACCTTTGTTGCTGCCCATGACCGCCGGCGGCTCCGAGCTCGGGCGAGCCCTGGCTGAGCTGAGCAACTGCGGTCGCAATTGCAGCGCTGCGGTCGGTGCAGAGTGGCCGTGCGCGTACGGCGTCGTACGCGCAGCCGCTCTGCCTCAGTGGCGTGCGGCTTGGGCCAACTGAGGTCGCTCTCCGACCTCGCTCGCCGAGCTCACAATCCGGCGCGAGCCGCATCGAGTGGAAGTTCGACTTCAGCTCCCGCGAGTGCCTTGTCCTGTGCACTGCCTTGTCGAGTGCACGCAGTTGGGCTCCGCCGGAAGCACGAGGTGCAACGCGTTCTCTGGGCGCCAGCAGACGCGAGCGCGCGAGCGCGTGTTGAACCGGTCGCTCCATGCAACACTCCAAGATACACTGGAAGGGGGGTACACGTTTTTTATTCGGGTTCGGGGCCCAAGAGTACACTCTTGGCGACGAAACCGAAGCGGGTTGGCCCCGGGGTGGTTTCACTGCGACTTTGCGGAGATCAGCAGGAGGATGTACGAAGAGATTAGGAGCAGCAGGGACCCGAGGGACCATGTGGAAGACGGCTAGACCTAGTGGCTAGTGCTTGTCGAGTCCCCCGTGAGGACGACCCCGGCTAGTCGCCGACCACCACCCACAAACAAAGAACCCTGCACAAAGACCGCATGCATGGGTCGGGACTTGCTTCTTTTTACCCATCTCCTAGTTCTCGTTGGTGTTAAAATTGTAGCGTCTCTCGATCATCGATCATCGTGTCGATCCGGATTTGAGGCGCAGGCGGCGCGTACACGACATCACGACCCTATACAACTTACAAGGCGAGGGTGGGTGTGGGGGGGAAGTGGGGGGGGGGGGGGGAGGCGGGAGCACTTGAAGCGAAATAAATGGCGACTAATTAATCATGATTGCTTGATTGACGCGTCTTCAGTTTGTTTCTTGTGCGGTAAATCTCCAGAAATCTCCAGTTTGCGCTCTCAACCTTCGGAGGTTTGAACTTTCATTCAAAGGTCTTCTCTTCTCCTGGAAGTGCAGGAAGTTTCCCATATCAAAACAGGTCGCAAATCAGTTACGTGCAACAACCCCTCGTGTCGTCGATCCCCGGCGTCTTCGGATGCCTCCTCACGTGCCGGTGAGTGACTCCTCACTCCGGCGCAACTGCCCGAGCCGCGTCGCCCGCCCCCCCACCCCCCCACTACCCCCCTCCCCCCCGCTCCCTCCCCCAGGGTGCGTCCGTTCTGTTTTGGATGCACGACCACCGCGCGGGCGCGCTGCTCCCCGTCTTCCTCAAAGTGCCTCCCAACATGCCGGTGCCGCTCGCGACGATCGTGGCGAAAGGCCCGCCGCCACACTCGGTGCGCCTCCGCGCGCCCGAGCCCCACTTATCCGTTGCGACCTGCCGAACGCGCGGCGAAACGATGCGCGTATTGGGGGAGCAACTCCCTCTCTTGGCCTCAGGTGCCGCCGGGCTTCGAGATGTCCAAGGAGTTTGAGCCGGAGCTGAGGCACGGACGCTTTGCGCGCCGGGACCCTCTCACCCCGTGCCCCTCTCATCTCCTATCCCAGCGCTAGCAGGTGGCAGCCGGAGCTGAGCTACTCCGACCTGTTCTCCTTTGTGAGCACCGATACTTCCCGCCGGGGGCGGCGCAATTCGATCAACATCACCCGCCTCACCGACGGCCGCCAGGTGCGCGCCGCGCACGAAGCCCACCGGCCGCATCCTCGCCGCCGATGGTGACTTTCGTGGGTGTCCCTTCTCGCAGGTGCTGCCAGCGCGTGTGCTTGAGATGAACACATCCTTCTACTACCAGCAGACCCGCCTCTCCCCGCTCGCACCAACGGACGAGGCGGGCGCCCCGGCCCCGCCTCCGATTGGGCTGCTCCCCTTGCCGGAGGAGCCCGCGCACGAGGCCGTCTAGGAGGCTTACCGTGATATGCCACAACCAAGACTATGCCATTGTACCAAGTGTACATACCGAAGAGCTGTTTATAACGTTGGGAGCTGAACAGTGTTGCTAGTGTTAACAGTAACAACAGAACAACAGTTCCCAACAACAGTAGCTAACGTTAGGCCAGCTGAAAAACAATAAGGAAGGCCTACCAGTGACCCACGACGATCTCCCAGGGCGTCCAGTGCGGGTAAATACCCGAAAATACCAGGGGAAACTCAGGTATTTTCGGGTTTTACCCGGGGTTTGGCATTTTCTGCTTTTGCTGACCGCTGAACAACAGTAACAACAGTAACAAACAGTAACAGCATGGGCTGGGGTGAACACTTGAACAACGTTATAAGGATTTCAGCGCGCAACCCAAAGTTAATGTTAAACAGCTCTTCATACGTCATACCGTAAACCGAACCCCACATGATGCGAGAGAAGGCACAGGAACGGTTTTAGAAACATTCGAGCGCTGTATTTAGTGTGAGCTCTGGTGTCTCGTGATAGAGGGGGGGGGTGGAGTCGTCCGGAGCAGCGTCACCAGCTAGTGGGTTTTTCTTTAGCGAAGTCTCCTCTTAAAGGGGGGTACGTTAAACGTTCTAGGGGGGGGGGGGTGTACGCGCGTGCGGCTTCGAGCGGCTCTACGAGCTCCAGAGAGTGCAAGAGAGCCGTACCTCTTGGAGCTCTCTCGTCTCGCTA